CTAGGATCTGGAACCAACTTCCAAGGGTTCCTACCTTGGGGATCTTTAAGAGGAGGCTTGATGTTTACCTAGCTGGGGTCATTTGAGCCCAGTTTTCTCTCCTGCCCAGGGCAGGGGGTCAGACTAGAAGGTCTACAAGGTCCCTTTTGACCCTACGTCTATGACTCTATGACCTCAGGAGGTCATCTAGTCCAACCACCTGATCAAAGCAGGACCAGCCCCAACTAGATCATCCCAGACAAAGATTTGTCTAGCTGGGTCTTGAAAACCTCCAACGATGCAGATTCCACAACCTTCCTCACATACACAGTATTGCTTCCATAATAGTTCCTCACATACACTATTGCTAAGTATATAAGCATGGTCTCCTAAAGGTTACAATGAATAAATGAATTCCCTGCAGGTAAAGTAGATTAATTTTGTTATGGCAAATCTCAAGTATTCTACATAACAAAGGCAGGGTTTAGATTTTGCACATCTGAGTTGCTGCTCATATAAAGCTATCAAATATTGAAATAATTATGGAGTTCACACATGGAAGCATTAGGCCCCATAGTTTCATAGTGGCTAGAGTCAGGAGGGACCTGAACAGATCATCTAGCCTGACCCCCTGCCACAGGCAGGAATGAATGCTGGGTTCACAAGACCCCAGACAGGTGATCATCCAACCTCCTCTTGAATTTACCCAAGGTAGGTGCGAGGACCACTTCCCTGGGAAGTTGGTTCAATTTTGTCCACCCTAACTGTAAAATACTGCCTTCTGATCTCTAACCTGAACCTATTCTCCATCAAATTACCATTGTTCCTCATCACCCCAGGTGGTGCTAGGGAGAAAAGGTCTCTACCTATTTGCTGTTGATCTCTCCTGATGAGTTTGTAGGTAGCCACCAGGTCCCCCCTCAGCCTCCTTTTGCTGAGGCTGAACAGGTTCAGGTCCATCAGTCTCTCCTCATAGGGCCTGTCCTGCTGCCCTCTCACCAAGTGGAGAAGAAGAATTCCCATTCTTCCCTAAGTGGGAATAACCTACATTTGAGAAGGAAACACCACCATTTCTGCCATTCAACTTGTTTCTTGGGAATTCTTCCAGTGGAGTTTTGCATCTCTTGCTTCCTCACAGGAAATGTTGACCTAATAGGCTCCAAGTGAGGGAAAATAACTGAATTTTTTTTCAGTGTATTTCTATCTTTCAATTTTGTAAAAATTAAACAACACTCAGTATGAATAAAACAGAACAAAATAACATATACATCCCCCCCCCAGTCTGCCTTGCATACTGCCAATTCAATTAAATGTTTTCAGGGAAGAATGATCCAACAGGTGTGCAAGTATTCTCAGTAAAATTATTTAGTCCTATAATCAAAACAAAACAGTCTAACAAGGGATTTCTGCAGTAAATATATTACTTTTTACTGTCATTATTTCTGCACATTTTCCCATCATAATTCAAGTTTCAGTTTAGAGTAACTTTAATAGTATTATAGTGTGTAATATTTTCATTTTTGTAGGTTTCGTTGTTCTACGCACCATAGAAAAGATGACAGAAAACCTACCACCAGCAAGATAGCTTTTATCTTACCTTCAAGTGAGTTTTTGAAAGATATGGAAGCATTTCTAAAATAAAATACACTTGTTTTCAGTTCTCAGTACTGCACAACTGAATTTCCCAAAGTAGGAATTATAATGAACTATTAAGGATAAGATGTATTATATAATACCTTTCCATAAATTAAAGACATAAGGAATGTAAAAGCTTGCACACCAAACTCCAAAATTAAAACTTGATTAATTAAAGTAAATTAATGTATGCTTTTCATTGTCTATGTTCCTGTAAATTATTCATGAATACAGTCAATTCTGTATTTGCTTAATGTATAGCTAGGAAATAACGTATTGACTTCTCTTATCTTAGATCAACTGCCACATATTCCGGCCTACTGTATCTTAAAAACAGTTTAATGCCTGCTTTAATAACAATGAATTCTAAAATAAACAATTTAGTGTTAAATTCCCTTACACCAACACAGAGAAGATGAACAGATACAGCCTTGCATATCATCTTCCATGGAATCCCATCTGCCACAGCTGAATTAGGCTGAAAGGGGTGGAGAGACATGCAGAGCAGAATGCATTGCTTTTCTTCTGAGAATGGGCTGTTTGTGCAAACAGCTAACACATACTGCTGATCAGTACATTTATATTAGACAACCCTATTACCAAATATCCCACTGAGCTGACAACCTGCAGCTTTTAGAGGAGTTTGGTGTTCTAGTCAGGATCATCTCCTAATACTTTCTTGAGCCCTTTAAAAAGATTTTATTCTGATCCTTTTGAAAAAGTAAAAGTTTGGAAAGTTATCTTCTCCACACTTTACCCCCATGTTCCACATGGTCTGGATCTAACCCAAAATATGTTCTTGGCTATGTCACAGTTCCAAAAATTATCTGGATACCTGTGTGTTTTGTTTTACAGCTGGGGCCATAAAGAAGCATGAGACTGAAACAGAACTAATGACAAAGCAAGCAAGCCTTAATGGAAACATGGTGAAGGAAAGGGCTGAAGCTCATGGCACGATACAGTAAGACAAACATTAACTAAGCAACATGAAAACTATATATAAAGTTATAGATATTTTAATTAAATATCTAAAGGCCCCACTCTATGCTTATGTCTGCCCTGCCTCCTTATGGACTACAAAAAAAGAAAAAAAAAGAACATCTCTCTGTTACTCTTATTCCACACATACCCAAACCCAAGTCATGGAGGGCAGAAGGATATGGGGGATATATTCTTCAGTGCTGGTTTCAGGCTTCTTTTCTCAGAGAAACCAAAGAGCAGCCTTTAGAAATGCTGAAGATCCCTCTTAACTGTAATATATATAAACACACATATACACACCTTACTAAAAGGTACTAAACATCAGGTATTTTATTATCTTTCTACTTTATTCACTTCTTTTTTAATTCTGTTCCTGTGTTAGACATATTTCTGACTGGCTTCTTTCCCCTTTTTTATTACTAACTAGAGCAGCACAATACATTTGCAGGCCTGTCTGTTGGTTTCAGTTAGTACAGAACACCTGTTTTAACTTGCTTTACTAATGTACGACTATATAATCTTTTCACCTCTTCCTCTGCTTGATTTTTTCACATTTTTCACATTTTTTTCTAACATTTTACATGACTTGGGCCATATTGTGTCACTGATATTTATTAGAATTAAATTTTGAAATCATTCAGAAATTCTTAAAATGAGGGTCATAGTATGGCCTTGTTGATATACATGTTCCAAACTCAGGGCCTGATCCTGCAATTCTTACTCATGTGAGCAACTCCTACTGATAGCCTGATGAATTTAAATGTAACTACCTGCTTAAATTAGGTTTATTCAAATCAGTGAGGGCTCTAGAATCAGACCCTTAAATCCAGATCCTAAAAAATATTTACACACCTAATCAAATTCAGGTGCCTAAACGTCACTGATAGGGGTCTACTTTAATTGCGGAGAAATTAAACAATTTTCATGGGTTGGTCACAGTATAAATAGCAAATTATTTCCTGGATGTGCTCATACATGATAAACAATAAAGTAAATTATGTAGAGTTGTACAAAAAGTTTAGAAATACTGATTTATGCTTACCTTAATAAAAACAATCTGTTAAGGTAAGTGCCTATGCCCTGGCAGAAGTAGGAGGGACAAGAGGGTGGCAGCCATCTTGTGCATAGTTGAAACCCAGCAGAGCAGCCCTTACTGAAGTGACCGCTGCCCTTTGTGCTGCCCCACCAGCTGGCACCTTCCCACCCTGGGTAGGCTGCGAGGCCAAGCCACAGTGGCAGCGAGGACCATTGGCTCCCTGGGGAGCCAGCATTTTGTTTCCATTAAGTTTTTAATTTATTAAGTTGATTTTGTGGACACTCATATTACGTGTTTTTTGCAAAATTTTCAAAATTGCAAACTGAGTAGACTCTAAATTGTTGAGGTTGAGAGTTAGTTAGTTACTCTGCATTTTACTTCTACTGGCATTGAAAGTAATATCAAGCTCTGAAGTGCGGATGTGGATCTAGATTTTAATCCTCCATATTTTCAGAAGTTAGTTCTATCCATTACATCTATTCAAGCTAACTGTAAAACTAAGATATGAGGGCTGAATTTTAAATATTCTTCCTGCTGATTCTGGGAGTGTTTACTTCAAAGCATTTGTTTTAACCCATACCTATTATTCTACAAGAATAGAAATATAATAAGGCTTCTCCCTTTATTCAATGTTTCTTGGGAATGTAGCTGTAAAAATTCATTCTGAAATCTTGCATTGCATTTAAAAAATTGTTTCCACACTCTCTTAAGCAATATTTCATCACATTATGTGAGAATACCTGAAGACATGTGTTACTTAATGCCTACATGATCACATATGCATTTGGTTTATTGTTTCAGGACAGAAAAAGTGGATGAAGTTATTAAAGAATGGGAAGGTTCTTTCTTTAAGGACAACCCTCGCTTAAGGAAAAAATCTGTTTCTTTGCGCTTTGATCTCCACCTAGCAGCAACAGATGAAGGCTGTTTACAGACTAAACAGAATAATCTACCTGATATTGAAGTCAGGCTGGTAATGAGGCGGTCTTCTAGTATTCCATCCATCAAACCTTAACCTGCAGCAAATTAATCCAAAGATCCTTTACAGTGGGCTTTGGAAATAAATACATTAGGATGAACCTAAATAGACCATATGGCCTCCTCCCATCTTGTCACAATTAGGAAATGTTACTAAGTATGTATTTTAATGAACATTTGAAAAATGTATGATTCTTTTTTAATGAAAGGGAGAAAGGGAGGGGTGTAAGATTTCAAGAAACATAACTCCTATTAGTTTTTTACTTTTTGTGATGTCCTTTAATTTTCTCATTATTTCTTTACAAAAGTCTTACTTTGCTGTGTAGAGTATCCCTAAATATTTAAGAATTAAACTAAAGCTGTAAACCTTTACAAATTGTACTTTTATAAAAGAGAATCTGGCTTCTCTTATCAATTAATGAAAACTATACATTTCATTTTCTTAGTTTCACAAAACCATAATGATTTATAATGCATAAGTCTTGCAGTCATTTTTACCATAAAAGGTATCATACAAAAGGTATACATCAAAAAACATTTTACTGGCATAAGTTAAATGCATAAAAGCTCTCATAACATCCAAACTATTAATAAATAACAAATAATTTTCCTTTGAAAGGTACATAATATTTTTTACATATCTGAAAGTAACCACTCAAAAATAGGCGACTTTCTCCCATGCAGTTATGCACACTAACAAATAATATTGAGCATACCATGCAATAGGTTTTTAGCAGAATTCCTCATTTCAGCCCATTTACATTAGAACTAGGGGTATGATATGGGTCACTGAGTTTTCTCACCTATACATTACACAAGAACTGCCTTTTTCAGTTCTACTGAGATAGCATCAGGGTTTTACCCTGTGTATCATTACAAACAAAAAATTGTAATGGACTTCAGTGGGACAAGCATTTTTTCTCACATATACAGAATACTACGCTATTCTGATAAGCCTTCCATGCACAGTATTTCCGGCTTCCATAACCATGACTTTGGTAGAAGTTCTTCACATAGAAGGCCAGCAGCTTTAGCCTTACAGTAGGGACAGAATTCAAAGTTTCTCAACATTCTTTCCAGCAGAGTCCAGACTTTGCTGTCAGGCTTATTTCTGTTTTTTTAAAATCAATAATTGCCTAATGTAAAACGGTCCTGCAATAAAGAAAGTGGGAGTCTGCCTCTGTAGTTATGGCACTCTCCTGACAGCAGACCCTGGAACCCAAGGGTGTTAGTACATGCCACATTTATTGCCTTTTGCACTGCAACAGATTTATGAAAGTTTAGGGCTGGAAGGGATCTCATGAGATCACTGGGTCCAGCCCCCCTGCTCTGGGCAGGAAAGACTGTTAGGGTTAAATAACCCCAGCAAGGTGTGCATCCAGGCTCCTTTTAAAGATATCCATTGTAGGTACCTGCACCACCCCCACCGGGAGTTTATTCCAGAGTCTGGTCACACAAACCATAAAGAAGTTTTTCCTTGTATCCAAGTTGAAACCGCCTTCTAGGAGTTTATGACCATATAAATGGAGTGACTATTTGCACAAATGGGATTTCTGGAAAGTCCTTCTGATGCATTAAACTAAAACTCCTCAGATGTAGTTTAGTTTGGCTTGCTGGGAATTAAACCGTTGCCTCCATGGATTCATTGTATGCAAACACACAGACACTCAAAGACACGTAATGAGCCTCTTTGTCCACCAGGTGGCACTGCAACTTTTTTTGGCAGTTCACCCCTTCGAATTGCTTCCATTTTGGGTTTTTTTTTTCTTGTGCTGTGTGCCAGCTCCCTGCTCGCACAGCTGCATGGGAGGGCACAGGGTAGGGGGCGCCGGGCCAGGAGGACAGCGCAGGACCATCCCGCTCTCCTGCAGCATCAGCCAGGGACCAGGCTTAATTCATTCGAAAACTTAGTGCATGCAACCACTGATGCAACACTCCAAAATAAACCAATTTAAATTTTATAAACCTATTTAATTTAATGAGAATTACACCCTGTGATGTGTACAGGTGCCCCAAGACTCCTGCCTCCCACTGTAAAGTCATAACCCTTAGGTGACAGAGGCAGGCTCCCTTTTGTTTGCTTTCCTTCTGGCCACACAATTCTTGTGCTTTTGGTTGCATGGTGGCTCAGCTTCAACAAGAGGTTTGTCAACAAGAGGCTCTCACCTAGCCTTCCATATAGCCTGGTGGCTGGCATGCTCCTTGGAAGTGGTAGAAATGGTTTCAAATCCCTTCAAGATAAGGTGGAACTAGGACCCAAGTACTCCTATTGGGCAAATGCTTTAACCACTAGACTGTTGGTCAAAAGGCAGGTATCAGCAGCACCAGTTTTCAGCAGGTATCAGCACCACCAGTTTTAAGGTGATTTCAATCCTACTGTTATGAGTTTGAGTTTCCCCCTACTGGCTGTTTCCCAAAGGGCTCAGGAGAGGTTTAGGTGTCTCCCAGGAAGACTCTAAATCATAACAGAGCATAGGCAAGAATTAGGTGCTATGGCATACCCGGTGTTCCACCTGAATTGCTTCTGACCATGCTCAGAAGTTCAAGGGAAGCTTTCTAGGAAACTCTGCAGTCCAAAATGGAGGTGCCTAATGAATTTCGACACCTAATGAATTTTGTGGCTGCTGGAGCACAACCATTTTGAATCATTCTTTGGAACACTGGTACCAAAATGCTGCCTCGATTCTATTTAAGCACCTAAGGAAGCACTTTGAATTCTTCTCTTGATGGCATCAGAAAGATCCATAGGCCTTCAGAAATACAGGAATATTAAGAATAAAAAAAAATCATAAAAAATGCTTCTCCTATCTGTCCACCTACATCTGTATTGTGATCACCGGAGCAACACTAAGGAAAATATGTCCTTGGATTGTTTAAAATCAGAGTCATACTACAGTGTTTAAATACTTGTGTTGATGTTTCCACATATTACAATGGTGAAAAATTAAATTAATAAAGTTATCTTTTAAAATATCTTTTAAAAATAGCATATGCTGTTGGCCTACATTATGTAGTACATCATTAATTTACCAGGGTATATTTACTGTATATACAAAAATGGACCAAGTAAGGGCTACAAATTTAAATAAAAACTTTACTAGACCTATTATGCTTTTCTCTATTGCTAATTCAGAGTAGTATGAGCAAACCTCAGCTACAGTAAACAAAACCTTATATCTTCTTTCTCCACAGGAAAACAGAAATACAAACTTATTACACTCATTTTTATTAACAGATTGTGAAACTAGGTTTGAACAACATCCTATATAGTTAGGTAAGAATAGCAGATTAATTATGAAGAATTTGAAAAGGATTGATATCTCAAACTCTAATTTGAATCAATGGGAGTTACAGGAACTCAGTATCTCAGAAAACCAGATCATGTTTTCTCTAGGTCCACAATAGCATGTGTAAGTTTTATTCAGGTGTCAGCACTTGCCCTATTACTTATGGCATGTTTAACAGATACTGACACTGCAGATTTCATCCATCATTTATTTAACTGCTTCTAACTTTTACTAATGTAAGAACAGTGCATTTATACTGAATGCATTTATACTGTTTATGCATTGTTCAATATCTCCTGTACTAAGCTGGCTAATTAACATTAACCCTAATTGTCAAATAGTGAGCTGGTGTATACTTGAGTATTTGGCATCCTGAATGTAATAGCCTGTCCTAGTAATTCCACTATGCAGTTTTTTGTGCTTATATTATGTACCTTTTACAATACTTGAATTTAAACTTAAGTTTTAACTGCTTTGAGGCACTTTAAACAGGGATATGAATTTACCAAAGTAAATGATGCCACTGCAATAAAGAATAATAAAACTGAATCTGACATTGTGTATTATGTGAATCTGACCACACACACTTACATTTGAGAGAGAGGCAGAGTCATCTAAATATAAAATTAATGCACTAGACCAGGGGTTCTCAATCCTTGGACCGCAGCCTAGTGCCGGGCCACAGCAGGTCAGCTGCCAGTCCGCAGCATGGTCAGCTGCCAGACTGGAAGTGACCACGGACTGACAAACCATGGCCCCCCCAGAGCCAGGCGGAGAGGTTGCAGCTCCTTCCGCAGGGCCCACAGCAGCACAAGGTATAGTTGGGTATAGTTACCTGTCTTCTGGCCCAAAATTCTGGCCACAGTCGGCTACGACTGCTGGGCTGTGGTTTGCCGGGCTGCGGTCACTTCCAGGCTGCAGTTTGCCAGGCCACAGCATAAAAACTTTGGGAACCCCTGCACTAGACTATAAACACTCTAGAATGTTTCCTATAGATGTTTCCACAAATACTGTATTATGACCCAAATTTCCTATGGATCTCCTACATAGCGTGCCAAGGGTGTACACTGTCTGGTATAGTACCTTTGGAAATTTTTCAGGTATACCCATGGGCCATGACCAGGAGGGGGACCCTCTGGACTATACATTGTACAAATAAAAAAGACTGTCTCTTTTGCATAAAGCTTGCAATATATAGAAGACAAGAGACAGAATTAGGCATACAACAAATAAATAATTATCAGAAATCCAGCCTAAAACATACAGCTGTAAAAGTTCTTAGGTACCTATCCACTTATATGAAGAATTTACACAGAAACATAGCAATTGATTTACCAAATTAGACCAATGACCTAATAACTTGTTTCTGATATTAGTTTGTATAGGATCCACCACAGAAAGGTGTTTAGGAATACTTTTTATAGACAGGATTTGTCGTTATCCATGAGGGAAAGAATTACTGGACATCTTGACTTATACCCTGAAACATCATCTCTCTGATATTTTTTATTCTACCTCTTGGAAGTGTGTTTTTTCTCACTATGTGTATAAATATGTGCCTTCTACTGCTGAATAATTAGCGAAGCTTGCAATAAATTGTATGCTATAGATAAATAGGGGAAAATTATTGTCTGGGACTGGAAAATTAAAACAGTCATTCTTCCTGGTATATGCTATTTTGACTATATCAGGCCTGGATTTCACAAACAATGAAATTAATTTAAATCATTGACTTTAATGAAAGTAAACTTATATCCCAAATTATTTTTTGAGTTATAAAGTAATTTCACCCAGATAGATCTCCAACATATCCCACAACTTACCTCTGGTCTCAGTTTCTCTATAAAATACACAACTCCTGTTTGATGTTTTAAACAACCAGTATACAATCAAGTAGAGTGCTTAATTAGTACAAAAAATGAATAATAACAAAGGCTTCAGTATAAACAGGTAGGTTAAAAGTTGCTTTATTTAGTTTATGGAATTCTGCTTTTATACTGCTATAACCCCTTTTGCAACTGTCCTCATTAATTAATGTGAGATATCTTTGATTTGCCTTAATAAATCCACTGTCATGCACTGCTATTCTCAAACTGAGAAACATATATTCTGATTTAAACTAAATTTCTTGAATTAACAGTAAAAAAATATAGCTAGAGCTTCTTAAAACATTCCCCACAAATCTACTTTTTTCATACTTGAGGTTTTCATCTGCTGTCAACCTTCTAGTAGAAGTTTCACTAAACACTGTGAGAATTATGTATGCAAAGGGGAAAAAGTTCATTAAGAGACTACCTTGTGCGTCAGTCACTTTAAAAACAATCTAAAAAAAAATACTAGAGGACTTAGGGAAATGGTATTGTAATAAAGATTCTTTCATTTCCATTTTCTGATTCAAATCTACATGTAGCTGCAGTTGTCTTATGTGTTTGACTGTCTCAGTCTGTTTCCCAATGGACAACTGTACCCATCACAAAACCACAGATGATTGTCACTAACTGGAAGTATAAGTGCATGTATCAAAAGCTGGGCCAAGGATTTTGGACCAGGTACTTTATTGCGTTTACTTACATTGAGTACTATCATACTTCCATTAAAACCAGTGGGGCAGCTTGTGTAATAAAGTGTTACCAAACCTGGCTATGAGTGACAGAATCTCACCCAAACAGTCTTTCATGCAAACGCATATTCCTTCAGGTAGGATGTAGGCATTTTTGAAGGGGAAGCATGAAGGAACTTCTATTGACACTGGTTGTGTTTTCCTCAAAGCTACGGTAAAGAGGAGACCTTCAATCTAACAATCCATTTTTCTTCTGAAGCCTAAATTAACCACTATAACAAAATAAATAGAATAGAAAAAATAAAAAAAAACCAAGAAAACATTTCTCTGACTGAAGCATATACAATAGACTTGACTTGTCAGCATGCAAAGTAAAACACAATGTCTTGCAAGTCCCTGATCATATGGGTGGCTCTTCTCTGGCCTTCTCAAGTTTTTCCAAGTCCTTGTTGAAATGCAGCCCCCAGAACTGTACGCAGTACTCCAGCTGTGGTCTCACT